GTTGCAATCAGAAATGGTGTCGACTAATGAATGATACGCGAAGAAAGCACCGGCCACACAGACCAAAGTGGTTGGGAGTTGGGACCATGGTACCGGCGCTCACGTGCAGCCCATTGCGACGTTGCGAGAATTGTGCAGTGAGCTCTGACGGGCACGTCTCTGCCACTGCAGACTGTGAGGTGACCTCCACCGATTTGCTGCAGGGTATTGTGCTTTGTGACGTAGTGGAGAAACGACCCAATTCTGTTTGTGGGTTAGGAAACTGGGGAAAACGCATCCGCGACTGCATGAAATCTGCTGGCATACACGTTTCGCTTGTGCCCGACGAATCGGCTCGGATCGAAAAAAGAAAGTTGCTTAAGAGAAAGACTATCAATTCGGTTAGTAATATCCCAACCCCAACCTGAAAAGTCTTTGATTACCGAAGTATCCAAGTTTTCAAAACGATCTCATTTCATAGCTACACAAAGAATCCACATTGCTATTAACACACTGGGATATTTGCTCTTTTATCACAAGAAACTAGGAGAGCTTCCATTTAAGCATTGCTACTGTGGTGGTTTTATCTCGGATTCACATTAATCGCAGAACGTAATTTAGCATCAAACGTTGTGATCAGACTTCAGCAAAGACATCCGAGACTGGTTCATTGGAAGCACATGAAATTCTCATCTAAATTTTGTCGTGAAAAGCATCATGTGACTGCATGGATTCCTGATAAGGTTTACTCCCACAGATCCGCTATTACGGTAGAAGACTTAAATCCACGTTACAGTTTAAACTTCTATAGCTTTTGAAATGCGAAACCACTAACAAAGACGAATCTCTGATAATTCCTTGTGGGGAATCGCGTTTTCTTCACTCATTCACATGAACTCGAATTTTTTTAATCAGGTTGCGGTTGTAAAGAATGAACTCAGATAATTTCAAGGGTAAGACCTTAGGTACTTCATGTAGAAGACTTTGACCATCACACTATTATCATAGGTTCGCATATTGCATCAGTAAGACTTGCTCATTCTTCATCTTCATCAGGGTAACGAGATGTTGGGCTTTGCAGCTTCAACGAGCTAGATCAACCTACTCAAAAGTTTGATGATGATTGATATCACGGTGGAGATAACTACGTTGGAAACCGAAATCAGGCAATTCTAGAATTTGACGCAGTCAAGTCCAACGGCCATGGCAACACATCTTTGCTAGCAGGCAAACTTTCGTGCAAAATTTTGTCAGGAATGAAACCTCTACAGCCTGTTAATCCGACAATTAATTGAAGGATTGGTCGAAAAACGAGACATTGTTAAGAAATGCCGGGAAAATTTTAGAGTCGCCATTGATCCATATTCCACGACGCACAACCAACGAAGTGCGGTGGAAATAAACTCCATTTTATCGTCTGGCGTGACTGAACGAACAGAAGTTGGGGCTTCCTGGAACTACGTACCTTCCCCCCGTTTATTCTGAGATGCTGGGAATGAATTAATAATTTTATACTCAAACAAATATTGATATCATTTTTGTTCGAAGCTGTTAGTGAAGGTCACAGCGACCCAGAGCCATGCGTTGAAGAGTTGCCAGCAGGGTTTGTTGCAGAGAAACATCCGGCTTCTACAAGCCTTGAGCACTTTCCCAAGATTGGCAATGACTTGGCCAATAAGTTAACAACATTGAATCCTTCGATGCGACGAGGTTGTTTATCCAATATGCGTGGTTTAAAGCGCCCCTAACGCCGTGCACAAGCTCAACCAAGCTCGGAAAACAAACAAAAACAATGAGAGAGATGGATAGAGAGAGAGAGAGAGAGAGAGCATCTGTCATAACTCAAAAGCACCGATGACCAAGTCGCTACCTCCGAGGCTTTAGGGTCCACATAGCTCCTAGACACTCTTCTAGATCCAGAAATGCCTGTGGACTCAGCCCCGGCCCATTCCCACGCCCATTCCCTCGCCCGGATCCAACATCCACCATCCGCACCGGGAATGTGGGTCTCTGCTCATCAAAACTGGCCGACTTGTTCACATCCTCCCCGGCATTTCGAACACAGTGTGCCCCTGGGTCGATCCATTCCCTCGCAGCAGGCATCGATCCAGCACCTGCACCATCATTCGCGCCATCGCCATCACCAGGCCTGCTGCTTGTCGCAGTCTCGCAGCACCACGTTTCTCACGAAACGCAAAAACACAGATCATCTACATATGCAAACAAAACACAGACCAACTATATTTGTAAACAAGACACATATCATGTATATCTGTAAACAAAACAAATATATATATATATATATATACGCACACACACACACACAGGGATGTGTAAAGTGGGAGGATGGGTTGGGCTTGGAGGACCAGGCAGCAGCATGGTGCCAGATTAGATGCTTTTCCTTTTCACAATGCTGCGTAACTTTCATGATTCTGCATGATATCTCTCATTCCTGCCTTGGGTCAGTTTGTGGAGATTGGGTGGCACCAAGCATCACTCCCAAATTGTGTATATAGATAAGTATATTCCTTGTACGAGGTGAAATTATTGCACTGGTTGAAGAAAAGTAACCACACAAAGGTATCACAGGCTTTCAACTTGAACTCTCAAAGAACTGCTTTCAAACTCAATTTTGTAGATGAATATTATTCAACAAAATATTATTTGCAAGGGATGGGTTTGGATACGGGGAGTTGCCTCTCAGCCATTATTTCCAAACTTAGATGTAATAAGTAGGCATCATGTGGGGAATATAATCTATTCTTTAAAAAGTAATCCTAAACTTTAAGAAGTAATTGAATGCTAGAGAGACTCTTTAATGTGTTTGAGATGATTCACAACCTATGAGGTCTAAGGTTTCAATCTGGATGGTGGGGTTTGTTTTAATTTCTTCATATGTAGATTTATCTATCTTTCTATTGTTCTGACATATTATATCAACTTTTGGATTACTTTCATTAAGTATGAATATTAATTTCTTTTACCAACCTAACTTTTTTTTATTTGGATATTTATTTCAAATATTCATAATATTTCATACATATTTTAAAAGTTTAATTTTTAATAGCTCTCAACTTGAATATGTAGAGCAAGTTTAAGAATAAAAAATAACACTATTTTATACTAGTATCGTTTCTTTCTTCCTCCCCTGAAGAGATTATAAAACGTTTATAATTGTTTAAATTTTGATGTTAGTCATTCTTATTTTTGATTTTTTATATATATATATATATATATATGTGTGTGTGTGTCAAAATTATATTTTTTATTTTATTTTTTAATAACTACATGGTATATTCTAACTTTTATGTACTTTTATAAGTTCTCAAAATTCAAGTAAAATCAGATTTGTTGTTTATTATATATATATATATATATATATATGTGTGTGTGTGTGTGTGTGTGTGTGTACATATCTAGAAAAGAAAAAGTAAGCTAAATTTAAATTTGTATGTGTTGATAACTATTTTCTAGTGCTATATCAATAAGACAAGTACTAATCAACTGATTGCTTTATCTAGTTCTATCTTTGAAATATAATTATATGTATTTCCAATTAAAAATATTCACAATCCATTTAATTTTTCTATTTAATTGAAATCAGGTTTTGTATTTTTAAAAACACATATTTTGAGAAGTTTATTTTCAAGTTTTGTTAAATAGATTGTTATTGTTGCAGCTAATGTCTATCTAAAAGGTCAAAGATTTAATTGAAGTTTTATATAAAACCACAAGGCATATAGATTCAATTGAATTATTATTTTTTTGTCTTTTAAAATGTTTATTAAATAAACTATTCGAGAATTATTAATGTCACATTTATTGGAAGTCTTTTTTAATAAAATATAAAAATACAAATCAGTAAATTTTTTTAATATATATATATATATATATATATATGAAAAGGTTCTACATTTGCAATCAGCCATAATGTCATAACATTCACAAAAAAGACTTGTATACACCATATCTATTATAGTTGCTAATATAGTATTGGACACAAAAATAAACTCCAAGGACCTACTATATGGCAAATTCATGATTAAATAGAAATGATATTAGGGTTATCTTTACTTTCTAACTTTTAAGATTTATTTATTTTTATTTATATATATATTTTAGTAATTAAATTGAATGAATTTTTATGTTGTAATTAACTTCGTAACATATTTTTAAAGTTTATTTATTTTTTTCAGATAAAATCATTTTGAATACAATTAAATTCTAAAATGTAAGTAATACAAAATAATAATAACATGGTTGATTTATTTATATTACATATTTATTTTATGATTATTGATTTAGTCACATTAATCACACACGTGTCACGCAATAACTGGTAAGAGAATAAGAAACTTGGACGTGGCGTGCGAGAATGAAGGATCCTTGAGTGCCATCGACAGCGAGAATCGCCGCACGCCGCCCCGCGGTGTGAAAAGAGTTTTAACGAAGTCCTGGAGTTGAGCAGACGGGGCGATGATCGCCGGACCGATACAATCCTTCAGCGCAAAGGCGATCTTGTACACCAGCCCTGCAAAATTAGAATACTAACAAAAATACGCACAGTAATCCAGGTTGCGGAGCCGAGTCATCGATCGTGAAGGGTCCCACAGTTGGAAGAAATTTGGCACTTCTCCGTTAAAATCTACCTCTCGGGAGGAGCCGATGCGGCGGTAGCAGCTTGAATCTAGCGATGAACAAACAACGGGTGCCGAGGATCGTCGAGTTGATGATCCCTCGAGATCGACAAAGAATACCGTAACTCGCGCTCGTAATGCTCGCCACTCGGTGTCGGAGCAGTACAATGCCGCGCTCGACCTCTGTCAGCGGCGTTCAAAACAGGCAGAGAGTGAGTGGGTGGCGCTCACCACCAGTGGTGGATGGGTACAGTTCCGGCGAGAGTGGTGGGATGGAATGGTAAGTCCGTGGGTGCATTTCACCGCGAGTGTGTGCGGATCGAACAGATGCAATCGGATCCGCGTATTCTCCTCTCTGTCGAGGGACTACCTTTCAACGGCGCTGTTGGGGTATCTGGTCGCCTGTGGGGCATGGTGCCGGGCCCACTCGTCGATTGGTGTTGTGAATAATTGACTAGTCACCGGCCTGCTTTTAGCCCCTCCGTCGCATGCACGCAGTTCGACACTCGGTTTTGGGGGGGGAGGATCAGGCTACTAGGGGCAATGATCTGCGATGAGCTTAGTGGAGGTCGATGTCGAGCAGCTGAGTGTGTACTGACCGATGTAAACTTCATGCTCATCGTGGGCTTAGTTGCGTATAATTTTCGTGAGTTGGTGGTGTAATGTTGTAAAGTCGAGAGAGAGAGAGAGAGAGAGAGAGAGAGAGAGAATCTTTCAAGTTTTACACAAAATTTTCCTGGTTTACGGTTTGGGGTCCCACTGGGATGTGCGTTTCGTGATAGGGATGATAATGTTCGAATTGTGTCACATCTGAGTCAGACGCTTGTGATAGAGAATGGAGTGAATCAGACGATAAGACTAGCCATCCTCTTTGCTTCTGCTCTGCGGTCTGAGAATGCGGACGACGCGGAGAATAGTGCGAGTTTATTTTGCGTTCTGTTCCGAGTGTGTCTTAACCGAGTGTGTAAACCCGCTGGTTCCTCACCTCCCTAATTCTGCTCTCAGTCCAGGGGAATTACACAAATAGGATGCTAAAAAGCTTCAATTTGTTTTTCCTGTTAGTATTTTCTGTGGTCGTTGCAGTTCACTGGCTTGCAGAGCTTTTCTGAGCTGGTGTAAAGTGCCCTGACTCGGTTCGCAACTGGGGCGTTGCTACTTCAAACTAAGTGTACTCGGCGAAATTGCCAAAACTTCCTGGCTGGAGGTTTAGAAGAAACGGAACTGAAGGTACATAGCTATGTCCCTACTATGTTGCGAAATTCTAATGCCCATGAGTTAAGTTTTTTCCTCCCAGTCTCTCCATGGGTTCGGAACGGAGACCAGATTCTGTGGTTGAGGGCGATCCCAGGACGGCACTATAGGTAATAAACGGCTCTAAGAGTTGCTGATGATATGGTAATGGCCATGGCTATGGCTGCAAGGCATAAGGGTACTGTACCGACCTGGTCTTCAAGCGTTTTGGAACAAAGTACTCATTTAGCCTGCCTTATGGATTGTTCAGCTTGCTACTCTACTACTAGGTTCATCATCTTCTAGTCTCATGGAAGAGCTCAACCTCTTTCTCGCAGCTTTCATTTCTACCCCACAGACGTCAATGTCGGTCACGAATAGTCAAGTAGGCCTCCCGGGGTAATTTGGTTAATGAGAAGCCTCTGCTCCATGAGAAGCCTGGAATGACGGAACAATGTTTTCCTATTGACGCCATAGCCACAGCAGAATATGTCAATATCTGAGGGCTGTAGGGGTAAAGTGCAATCTTCAGTTTCGTGGCGCCCTTCGAGCAGTTGGACGAAGTATATCGATCTGGAGTGGGTTGTTTTGGTGCAGGGTCGTTTGTTTGTTGCCATGGAGACTCCGAGGTGGGAGGCCTGGATCAACATGCGCAAGCCACCAATGTTGATGTGTTAACTCGGTTGCTACACAAGCAAACCGCCGGCTCGTGCACTACCGCAGAGGCTTGACAGGACCTTCGTGACGGCTTTGCTCTCCTAACTGGTGAGTGTTATGGTTCCAAATGTTTGATGGTTGAGCTCAGCATCTGCGAGTTGCCAAACACACTGGGCTCTCTAGAAAATCTCTCGAAAATCATACCCTGAGGACATCGATCAGTGCGCCGTACTCAGCAAAGAAGGAACCTACTTCTACTGCAGGGAGTACTAAATCCTGCTAGAATGGGGTGGCTTGATTCTATTTTTGGCGCTGGCTCTGGCTCTGGCTCGTTCGAGCATCGCCGCTATGGCGAAAACGAGTATTACGAGTATCCAAGATATCCTTCTGGCTTGTCACACAGCGGTGGCTCTGGATCATATCAGGGAGGCTCTAGTTCTGATTCGTGGCGTGCACCCAACATTTTCGAGGTAGTCACTCCAGCATCTCATTATCCTCTAGACCCAATTGTACCTTTTATGGTTATGACCTCTTGGATGCGAAATCAGTATCGAACTGGGAACTGTTCTTGTGTAGTATTAATACCAGATACATGCCAAATGTAAGCTTTCTCATGCAAATCGTGCAAGAATTTTGCAGGATCCTTATGCGAATAGGTATCCGAACCAAGGCGGGAGCTATCCATATGACTATGAACGCTTCAGTCAAGACTATGGACGCTCTAGTCACGACAATAGACGCTCATGCCAGGATTACAGGAACCCCACCGGTTACATGGGCTCTGCCTATGATTATGGCGCCAGTGAGCCCATCTATCCAGCATGGTGGGGTATTGAAGAGGGCAGGCAAAGCAGGAAGCAGGACACAGTAGATGATGAGAGTAAGGCAACCCTCACACAGTATATTGAGGAGGAATCAAAGCCAGAAGATTTCTTAAGAAATTAACTACGCACGCCTGTTAATTCTCGAAATCATAGTGTTGGAGCACAGGAGTTAATGTTGCTCTTCTTGTGCAATCGTTTACAGGCAAAGCTGAGGCGGAGGATGACTCTGATAATGAGGTTGGAGGCTTAGTCAGTGATATGGGAACTTTGAGTATCCATCACCATCAGTATCCACCACCTCAACGCACATCTGTCATTGCTCCATACAACCATAACTATATGCCTGCACCAAGGTAGGGTTTCTAGTTGTTTAGTACCTCCCAACAGGAGTTTTGTAGCCAATTATTTGAACACTAAAAGCTTCCTTCAAATATACTCTTGGATGATACCATTTTAATGGATCTTAGAGGGTGGCTGGGTGAACAAGGCGTGCTGAAGATCACTCCTTTCAAATTAACACATGATCTGGAATGGTTGCGTGTGATAGATCTACCTCACAGTCAATTTGCGCTGGGTGCAAGCAGACATTAAGTCATGGGAGGTTTCTGACATGCCTCGGTCAGAGTTGGCATCCTGCCTGTTTTTGTTGTCGGTCCTGCCATAAGGCGATTGTAGATCGTGAGGTATGTGACCCTTCAGCCCATCGGAATGGTGCTGAATGTCACCGCGAATTATGCATTCTATTTAATTAGGCCATTGGCTATTCCTTCACAGTACTCTGGCTTTTTGTATTATAAGAAAAACTTGCTGTCTGGAATGGAAGGTCCATGTCTAGTACTTTGGAAGGTACTGTAGGAAACGTAGTCTGCGTTCTCTACTGGGAGACTGATAGTCGCCTTGGCTGTGCAGTTTTCTGTACAGGAAAAACAGCCGTATCATCGAGAGTGTTTCAAAAGGGAATTTCATCCCAAATGCGAAATTTGTTTTAATTTCGTAAGTGACCATATATCTCTACTGGCGTCTAGCACCGTTCTTATATTCTCTGAATTCCTTGGAAGGCACAGAATAGAGAGGATAGGCGACTGGAAGAGTGTACTTTTTGAAAGGACCTACTAAAAATAGCCCTTTTTCGCAGATTCCTCCTAATTCTGAAGGATTGATTGAGTATCGATCGCACCCATTTTGGGACCAGAAATACTGCCCGTCACATGAGCGAGACGGAAGAAGGCGCTGCTGTAGTTGTGATCGAATTGAGGTATTTATCCGCACTTGAATGAGCCCATCGAGCTAGTTTTTTTTTCAGTTGTTTTTGCACTTTCACAGCAAGTTATCAATGTTGACCAAATTTACTGCTAGAGTATCTTGGCAAAAGCAACCCGTTTCTGATTTTGTGCTTCTGTTTTTGCAGCGTGTGGATCAGGGTTATACTCCCCTGGGAGATGGCAGGAAGTTGTGCGGAGAATGCATGGATTCCATGGTGATGCACACAAGGGATTGCCAGCCCCTGTACCGAGAAATCCTCAAGTTCTACAAAAATAATCTAGGCATGTCTATTGTTCAGGAAATACCAATGCTTTTGGTGGAGAGAGCTGCTCTCAACCATGCCAGAGAGGCTGAAAGGGATGTAAGTTCTCCAATTTACATTTTGTTACCGCCTTAAATAGCTATATTCATCCTCTCTAGATCTCAGTGGGGTTTTAGTGTTGAACGTGTAGCTCTCTGTTGTTTAAATCTTATTGTAATGCTGTATGTAAACGGCTCTGCAATGAATTTTTGAATAGTAAGAATAGCGATATTTAGTTCTGCAGTTCTAGGTATTTTCTGATGTATGGATTGATGACATTTACGCAGGAACATATACATGCTCCAGAAACTCGAGGACTGTGCCTGTCAGAAGAGCAAACAATAACTACGGTACGTCTTGTGTGAAGACTCTTTCTTAGTTGCATACAAAAGCGTAGTGTAAAACTCATGAAAGAACATTACCCACGAGTGTGGAACTTTGATTGGAGCAACACAGGTCTACGGTACTAGTCCAGATGAATATGGAGATTATACCCATCACGAGATGCAGACGAGGAAGTTGACTCGTCATTGCGAAGTCACCGCCATCCTTGTTCTCTTCGGTTTACCCAGGTCTGTATTTATGATGTCTCTTCATTTGTGAGATGATCTTTTTGTTTTCATTTTTACTTTTTAACTTTATTTAAATGTGAAGCTAGTTTACAGTTCCATCGTCAATATATTTATAAGGGCACTGAAACAACTATCATCGTCCTCGTGCAGTTTGCTGACAGGTTCAATCTTAGCACACGAACTGATGCACGCCTGGATCCGACTTGACGGTAAGCATAACACACTTTCCCCAAAAGTATTCTCTGCATTCTCAATCGAAACGACAATTTTCTCGTGATTTTAATTAGGGCCGAATAACCGTGTTACACTTGAACTGAACAAGTACGTGTCTCTGAACACAGGTGGGTTTCCTAGTCTGGATAATGACATAGAAGAAGGAATTTGCCAAGTGATAGCTCACATATGGCTCAAAGAAGAGCTTGAGAAGTTAAAGAGAAAGGGTAACGTCTCTGAAGCTACAATACGTCTGGGCGACTTTTTCCTACACCAAATTGAGACCGACTCGTCACCCATCTATGGAGATGGGTTCCGAGCTGCCTATGCTGCATACAAGGAGTATGGACTTTCAAAGACCCTTAATCATCTTAGGAACACTGGGAGAATACTCCGATAAACGGCTTTGAACCAGGTCACGGGCTCTAAGTCCCATTACCTGGTGTAGCGGCTCTGCTTGTGATCAAGCAGACTGTTACAAGTTCGGAATTTAGCTGAGCAGCCTGCATATTCCTGTCAGAGGGCAAGAGCAGCTTTCCCTTGAAAGCTGTTGCCCTCGAGTGACCTTTCAACATGATTCAGTCGACTATTGGTTCCCTCACTAATGGTTTCCACTTGCCACTAGCAATGTAAACTTTCCTTTCTCTCTCGGTTGGAAGGGTCTTTCTCTTGAGATTCTCTTTCTTCCAGGCTTTAGCAGATGGGGGTTTGAGCTCCAGGGGGAAGGGAAGTTGCACACCTAATCTCGTATACAAGTTAAGCTTTACTATCAACTACTAAATCTTTCAGTCTGCATTTAAGTGGGTAGACCAAATTTTTCGGATGGCAATACTGGTGAAGGAGAGGTCGAAAACGTTGTAAAGTAGATAACAAAAGTACGGTGATCTGAGGATGATCATGTTGGAGATATTGAGAAAGAAGTTTTTCAGTGATCTATGTAAGCAGAGTAGGCTTCCACTAGCAGCTGAGCCTTTCGGATGAAGTTAGAGAGGACCGGTGGTGCGACAGACACTACTGTAACCTAGCATTGTAATTGGAGGCGAAACATGATGCTCGAGAGTTGTGGGCAGAAATGAGGAATAAACCAGGCCTGTTCTGATCTCCGTTCCTAACCATACAAGGATTTGGATCTTGTGTTGCTGTTGTGATTTTTCCCGTGTTCTGTGCTGTGATTTATGGGTGGAGATAACCCATAACTTCATATTCTTAAGAGTGGTTCAAAATGATTGTGTTAGCTGGTCGTTTTAAAGCGTTTCCATTTCGTGTTGTCATTCGTTCAACAATACCATTGCCAACTATATGTCTTGCATATTTAAAAGAACTTTCATCAACTAACATGCACATCCCCTTGTTGTAGTTTGAATTTGCAAACATCAATTATATTGCAGTCATACAGTCACATTCAATAAATTTGTAAGTTTGCAAACACACACTCATCAAATATATTGCACTCAAATGTTTGCAAATTTATGTACTGACACACTCATGAATGAGAGTGAGTGTGCGTCGATACTTGTTTGCATTCACGCAACGTGACACGGAAATCCACAGACCAATTCTGCCATGGAATCACGCCCCGATCGATTAAATCCATCCACGTAGATCCTGCCACGACAAATTCCATCGGAAGCCGTTGGGAGCGCAAACCAACGGTAGGGTTCGTTCCCGCACGTTCCCCAGCGAGCGCGCGCATACCCGTTGCGAGGTAGTGACGGAGTGAGGGAGGGCGTGACGGAGGGAGTGGTGCGTGGGGCGCTGTGCATTCTGACCCCTCCCCCCTCTCGGGACAACGACTCTGTGCGCGCGACTCCTTGAAATTACGCCCCTTCACTCTCCATCGCCGTCGCCCACCGCATTCACTCCCTCCCTTATCTCGCCCCCTCTCTTCGCTGCCTTCCTCCCCTTCTCTTCTCTTCCGAGCGCGACGGTCGTTTTCGGTGTTCAATTTTGCCTTGACACTGCATTGACTTGACACTGCATTGAATTTGCAGCGATTGCCGCGACAGGTAAAATTTCTCCGCCGTGTGCTTGTGAACTCAGAGTGAGATGCGTCGGTTTAGTTCGTTGTGGAACTAGGTCGAACTTGTGTTGCTTACTTAATCCCCGTTCGACTTCTGGGGAAGGATGTGTTCCATAGCGACGTGAGATCGTGTTGGGGTTTGCCGCGGATCAGTCTTCTGATCTTTTCTCCAAGCATGTGGCTCCATTGATTGTCGTTATATTATGCGGAGGGACGTATTTCAGGGATCTGCTTGTAAGTGCATTTTCGGGGGTTGTCTTGAGGTTAAGAGGGGTTAGCGTAGATGGGATAGTTTCAGGAGGAGCGTGACTAGTTCGTTGTGTTTTGCATCGCAGATTGTGGAGTTATCATGAAAGGCTTGACGATGCGTCGGGTCTTGAAGAGGTTGGACAGCATTCGGTCGTGCAAATGTCCTGTCAACGGTGATAGTGATAAGGAGGAGTGTCCTCTCACCGCCCCTCCGTCCGCTCCGCTTCTTGCAAAACGGTCGCGCCAACAGTCTAGTAGCAGCGAGGATTCTGCTCGTCCCTCCACTGTATTGATTGCGAAGCGGACGCGTCAAAAACTTAGCGTCGATTGTACTATCCCGCGTGATGATACTAACAGCGCTCTCTCCTCCCTCCCACGTAACACCCTCGGGTGCGTAGGAATTCGCAAGAGGCGAAAGGGCCTGGTAACTCTACTGGTTGGAAAGGAGCGGCAAGTCTTCAAGGTAGAGCCGCAGATGCTAGAGCACCGACTATTAGAGTGTCTACTGGCTCGCTCTAACTGCGGCGCCGATACTCCTCACTCAGACTCGAACTATGAAGCGTTGCGAGATGATCAGGAGAATGTTAAGGAGAATGTTCCCATTAGTCAAAGCTTCTCGGGAAAGGAGAATGCTAGGGAGAATGCGCACAGGAAGGTGTGTCCAACCAGGAGTGGACCCATACGCCTGGACTGTGACGCTATTCTTTTCGAACACATTTTGTGGTTGCTTAATAACGATGACCCAGCTATCCGTCAACTAAACATTGACGAGCTAATGGAGTTCTACGAGTGAATCATCTCGCCATGACCCCATCGTGAACAGGTATCGTACTCTGCCTGAGGGGGCTTTGAAATCAATCGTCTATGATGGTCAGCAGCTCATTAACACTCTCAATTACTTCACATGCCCCTGAAGCTTGAAGGGTAGACTGTGATCTCGTCCACTCTGAAAAGGCGAGATATCATTCCATACTGTGTATATGCAAGTATCCGATTTCGACAACCTGGTTCTCTTCGCTCACAGAGAAACACGGTATACCATGTTTGGCATATTGTGGGATATCCGTGGTGCAATCTTTGACCAGATTAAGATACAGAAGCACATCATGTTAGGAAGAAGATTGCCGCTAGCAATCATCTTGGGTTCACCACTGAGAGGCGGGGGGGCAGGCATTCTAGCTGCCATCCCCTGCAAATGGTGAAATATATCCCTGGCGAAGCTTATGAGGTCTACAGACGAGGCTCTGCGGGACTGCTTCGTAGACGACAGGGTAAATATTTTTGTAGATTTAGGTTGCCAGTGGTCGATTACTTCACAGACTAGAAACTCCCTTGCGTGTTTGAGAGAATCCAGTCGCGAATTGAATTCTAGGATTGCTTTTCTGGGACGTCTCATACGATGAGAGCTTGAGTAGAGATAGACTGGAGCCAAGCACATGTACATTATTAAGCGGAGATAATGCTTTTATTATGGAACTTCTTGCTTGCACCTTGAAACTGCATAGAATCGTCCAAATGCATTCTGCATGCTGGGGCTGCATTTACCAGTTGACTTATAACCTGAACTTCCACGGCATTTCACCGACCATATCTAGACACGCTTGAAAAGACGGTGGAAGTTATGGATTCTCTGCGCCGTGATGCATGAGTCACACCCTTCTATTTGGTAATCACTGCCTGCTATCAGTTACTATTCGTTAGCAGCCCTCTCGACAATGTTAAGTCGACATTGGTAGAATGGATGACTTTCACTCACCCCTCGTTTGAGCTAATCTTTCACATACCATCGTCGACTATCTGTCAGATCACCACAAACCACCTACCACACATTTTTCTTACTCCCCATTTCTACTCATCATCTACAACGTTATACACATGGTTTTGCCAGTAACACGCTCCGCTGCGGGGATACTCAACAGGCAGCGAAAGGTCGTGACGTGAAAATGACGCTTCCCCTGTCTTGTATCGAGGAGCCGAGTACGAATGGGCGCGAGAATCAGAGCTCCAAAGTGGTTTTGCGAGATTCTGGAGAACTGTTACAATGGGGAGAGACGGTGTAGGTGAAGGAAGAGGGGACATTCATAAAGAGTGTCCAAACCTATTATTTAAAAATAAAAATAATATATATATATACATATATATAGATAGACATTTTTCTCTCTGTGGGAGGTGAGGAGGAAGATGGGGTATTTAGGAAAGGAAGAGTGTTTCTGAAGCTCCAGTTCTGTGGCGAGGAACCTTCGATTTCATTCGATAACATACTACTCGTGCGTGAACACATTGGCGCTATTGCTTGGGAGACAAGTTTCAGAAGTGATGCACTATTATGATATTGATTCAAATTTCCTTATCTAAAACATGCTGTTCCGTTTGTTAATCTGATTATTAATTATTGATTTTTTTATCTGTCCACAACCAGCAGTTCAAAATTCTATTCAATTCCATGAAGTGTACCGAAAATGAGTACAAGTGTTGTTTCCCTAAAGAATGATAAAATATGATTTGCCAAGCATTACTTAGCATTATCAAGATCATATCTATCAAACGTCAAACTAGTTTTACTACTAATAATAAAGTCAAACCTGTCTTTTAAAGATTTGTATGAGAATTAGTTTTACTACTAATATTAAAGTCAAAAGTTTCATAATAGTGCTGTCATGCAAAACTTAAAGTTGTAAATTCAATCAATTAATAAAAGCATAGAAAACCAATCCATAGCTTCCCACAAAGTCTTTTTGTGCATTAGATATTAAACCTACTATCAATACACACACACTAAAAGAAAAAAGAAGCTATTATACAGGTAATGCTAAAAATTCTAGTATATGAATTTTACATCATATTATATAAAAAAAAAAAAAAAAAAAAAAAAAAACCAACTTTGCAATATTTTTCTCACTCACATCCACCAAATATCTTGAAATATTGGTTGTTGTGAGAATAATTTATTATCATTACTATTATTATTATTTTAAAGAAAAAGAAATACAGCCGCACTCCAAGGAAGGATGTCAAATTAGAGCCAAACAACGAAAAGCCAAAATTGAACCCTTTCATATTCAAACACTCATGTTTGATTCTAAAACCAAAAGCCTCCAATTTATAAAATCCACTTCTACTCATAAAATTTTTCCTTATACTAAAATGACCATGTTCTCTCATCACATTTATTTGAGTTTTTCTATACAAATATAATTATACACATAAAAATGTATACATATAAAATTTTGGACTTGGGCGGTGGCGGTGGCGGCGGCTTGTGAAGTCACTGCAGCGGTCATATACAGTTAAACTTCATTCATCCAAGAGGGAAGATCAGGGGCTTCCAAACCTTATGAGGAGGTTGGCAGCAGACATTTTCAAGTCGTGCGGACAACTTTCATTCACCCATAATTCGTCCATAATTCATCCATTTTTGCCCAAGTTCTTTAGCCACGGCACTGCACAAGCGTGCGTTTTACAAACTTGGTGACCAAGTTTCATTCATCCATGAACCCTCTGGGAAGAGCGAGCCACCTGGTGTCACCTTAGCAGCCCGCAGCGGCGGAAGAGCGGGAATTGTAGGCATTGCGCAGCGTTGCCCAGCGTGGGTTCCACAGACAAATCCGTGCGCTTCTGGCCATTCTACGACGTGGGTCCCGCCAGCATTGATCGCTATATTGTGTGTAGTCGGGACTTGAAGGGTCTCAGCACTCTTTGCGGTTGGTAAAGTTCGGAATTGTTGTTTTGTTTTGTTTTGTTTCGGTTGCCTCAGAGATCCGTGAATTCTATTGTTGCCCGATCACGTAGCTACATTGGCTGAGGTTGGGCTGCTACGGAGGCGGGAGATGCGCAGGAGCGATGTGATTGCGTGTTGGATCCTTTGCTAGTTTTGTGGGGTGGTGACGCGGGGAGGAGAGGCTGCGAAGGAGCACCGTGATCGTGTGGTGTATTCTTGCCAATTCTGTGGGGTGACGCTGAGGGCGGTGTATACGAGGGAGTTGCGTAGGAGCACTGTGATTGAGTGTTGTGTCGTTGTCAATTCTGTGGGCTGACGCTGAGAGAGGTGTGCGAGGAAACTGCTTTAGCGTTACTATGGGTTCGCGACACCTAAACCAGGTACACGCCGAAATCTTTCGAATTTAACTTCTGACTTCCGTGAGGATGGTCCAACTTAATCTGACTAGTGTCGCGTGTCTTGTCCACGATGCTTCCTTAGTCTGCTTGAAAACTGGGTTTCGTAAATCTGAACTTTTGTAAACAGCAGTATGCTCATCAATTTGAAATTGCTCTAATGCAGATGCTCGGATATTGTCCCGAACCTCAGGTGCCGACGCACACTGATGCTCCCGTAAACTCAAAATACGGGGTATGTGTTGTTTTTCCAAAGAACCAATTGCCGTTGAGAAGTTTTAACTCGCACTACACCAATTGGAAGAGACGCCCACTCTTTGTTCGAGTGGAACCTATCTTTCTAAAAGCTTCATAGAAATAATCGGTGTTTAGATTTTCTTTTTGATTTGTATGATAAACTCACGTCTTCAGATGCGAGATATTAAACTTTTGCTCAATTGCTCTCTGCAGACTCATATGACGGTCAAAGCGCCTAATGTTTCAAATGCTAGCAAGGAGGTTCAGGAGAAATTGATAGTCCTGGCCTCCTACATGAAGAAAAAATGTAAGTGTTCTCAGCTCTCACGAAGAAAGTAAATTGCTTCTTTCTCGTTCTTGGGTTTTCTGAACTGCTCTCGGTTCAAACTCTTCGCGCCGACTCCAATCATACGGGTAGAATTTGTTGTGTTCGAGGCTAAAGCCATGACCTTCAGCAATAGCTTTTAGAATGCAGTCTCCGCAGAGCTTGTGGAAAAAGATAACTCTCTTGACAATCACGCCCCTGAAGGATTCTTGTTCTATTACAGACTGCTGAATGCATTTCAACAAGGGTCAACTGTGTTTTACCGAAGCGCACGTGTCTTGCAAAAAGCATCAGCGTTTGGTTTCTAAGGTGATGATCGCTTTGTGACGTGCAGATGGAGCCACATGTGATATCGACACAAAAAACAATGCTATCTATATAACTTCTTTAGATGGACGCCTGCATATTTCCAACGTTATGAAATACGTGCGAAACCACCTTCATCAATCGAGTGAGCAAGTTTGAACTGGCTGGACAATTTAACATGTCACAATCTGATTATTAGGCTGTGAGCTACGTGAACAAGGCGGGACGTTTTTGGGAATCTTTCTGGTTCTGCGAAGGAAGATAATGCAATACTTCGTTTACATTTTTTAGGGTGGTTTTCAAATATTGAGTGCTTCTGTGGATATTGTAATTAGAATATTTCACAGCGCACTGTTGCACTGAATCGCTGGTGATTTTGAAGAAACATTAGAGATAAACTTGTAGGAGGAAGCAAGAAATGTTCTACTCTGAATGTAAATTTATTTTTTGATTACAAATCTGCACATATGTATATATGAAGAGCTACCTTGTGCCTCGATTCTAGTTTTTCGCCAGTAGTGCATCATAGAACCAACACGTATACAAAAATTACCCATTTGACACAGAAACCAACTAGGAAAGATGATGAGAAGTACGCGGATATGAAAAGGGTCCAATTTCAGGGACTAGGCTCGCTATTTTACATGGCTGTTTTGCAACGTTGACAGAAGACCTATTTCTCCACCTATCCTGCTTAACACCATGGAATTGATCACATTTTATAGACGAAATACCCTCTACTTGGTATCATACATGGCCGTTCCTCATTTGTGGTGTGTTAGGAGGGAAGCAGTGAGCTTCACAGACTCCTCGTGTGTCCCAGAGTAGAAGCTGAGGTGGTAATGATATAGACAGACAGGTGTTGCGTCCTTAAGTTGGCCTGAGACAACAAGTTGACCAATGCACGTGTCAGATTGCGATTATGCGTAGGTTACTTCTCACCTACTTCAATGGATACATCAAAGAGGAAGGTATGCCAACGAAAATATGGACAAAAAGTGAAGTGGAGGAGTTGGGTTGGGACCTTGGTCAATTAAGATTTGGCAGGCGGAAGTATGTCGCTCTTGAGGGAACCCATCTTGGACTTCCACTTGCGAGTGGGGCGCTTCACGGCACATTTCGACAAGATTTTCTTCATGGCCTTGCTGATGGACACCTGGAATGAACCATTCATTCAAAAGTGTGGTAAGAAAAAAAAATGAATTCGCCAAAGCACACCGCCAAAAGATCACAATCGCTACATATTGCTGCTTGTGCAATGCGAGTATGGCGATTGATACTTACCATAACAGTCTGTTCGTCCTCAGAAGAATGCTGATGCTTGGTGAAGTGCAGCTTGGTATCCTTCACGCCGGAAGCTTTGTACTTTCTCTGCTTATATGCTCCAGCAGGGGACAGAAGCTCCAGAGTAGCTGCACAGGTGGGCGATCGATTGCTATGCTCGTCGTTGTGAGGAGGTGAAAGGGTGGTCGCAATGAAACAACTGTGGTTGGACTTGTTAGAGGAAGTTAAGCGTAATGGGGAAAACTTCATGCCGGGAAACGCACTGAATTCGTCTCTCCGAGACCTTGTATTCTGTTCCAAGTTTGGGTGTTCATCCTCGGAGGACTGACAAGCATCTTGTGGAGACGTCGAGCAGTGGGATTTTCTCTCGGTGGCAGCGCAGAAACTGTCTAGCTCTGAGTCGTTATTACAAAAGCGCGTAGAGAACGTTGCAGTCCAAAGCTCTGGGCTATGCATCGGCCCAGGGAGGGAGTGCAATGTGTTCGAGTTGAAGGGGTCATCGGATCCAAGCAGCTCAATGTTTGACGTGGTTGTTCCATTATCTTTTCTACTTGCATCGTCGCAAGCAGGTTTTTCAAGGCAAGAGCTGGGGAATGACAAGCTCACGCATCGTGACTCTACAAAGGTGCGAGCAGCAGTTGAGTTAGGACTGTAACCCGGAGCGAGGGCGTCGCAATCGCCTTCGCCGAGATCAAATGAGACATTGCAACTCGAAATCGACTGCGATCCAGAGGTGACCGTAGGTGAGAATGATGGTGTCCCAGGGTCAGATCTTAGGGAGGGATTCGAAGATGGCAAACTGCCATCGCCTGGTCCGCGGAGGACACTTCTTGGGGAAGATGAATCTAGGAAGTCTCTAGGGCCGTCCCTCTCTGCCATTAAGGACCGAGTTGGCCCAAACATCCCAGGTCGCTTTTTGGTAAACAGCCCGTCTGATGAGTCGTCCGCTCCCCTGCTAGAATAAATTCGCCGAGTGCCTCGAAAATCATGCGAAAATTTCGATTTTGTTAAAATCGAAGTGGAGGTGGTGTCAATTGCGGAGTTTGAGGTCTTTGATAGAATTACAGGAACCCCATCCACAGTCGCACTCGTCAAATTGGCAGAATATTGACGGAACAGAGTTAGATACGGCGAGTCGTCCAGTTGAAGAGTGCTTGCAAAAACCTCTTCTGCTTTAACCTTCCCTGTGGGCGCCTCCCATTTGAAAACAATACGCCCTGACCTCGATGAAGAAGAAGTTTCTTTTCTTTCCAAAGTTTGAGGTTTGGAAATCACTGGTGCAATGAAGTTTACTAGGTCCCCGACACCAATTGATTCAGTTGTGTTTGTATTGTCGCACACTCTATCACTGTGCTCGAGCTCTGGCTCTGTTGAGGATCGACAACTGGCGTACTCCGACCGTCCATCGAAAGCATCACTTCGTAAAACATCGACAGTGCCAGCAATTTCCTCAGCTAAATCCTGGCTGTCTGTTGTTGACGCAGAACCATACATGGATAGCGATGGAATTGCATTCTGGACCCGCTCAATCTCCACAATTTCTCGCGCCTCGCTTAGAGGAACTTCCCATGTCACTCGATTGACTGTGCAATCTTTCTCCGTGACAGGCTCCAGCCCGAATGAGGTCTTCCACGAATCCGCAGAGGAAGTTAACCTCATGTCTTCTTCCGAAATGGAATCTGGTTCTTGTAACCGTGATAAGCTTCCATACTTGCTACCATCCGACGTTACAGCATCGTCCAGGTGCTTGTAGGTGGGCAATGAAACCAAATTGAGCTCTCCACTCTGGCGCGATAAATTGGAAGCCGAAGCGGGACTGCACACTGCTCGATTCTCTGCATTACGATTCTTCTTCACCGAATTGCTGTACAAAGCTCTGGGAGACTCGTGCAAAGGTCGAGTGCTCGTCTTCCTGTCCAGCGAGATCCTTGAGCTATTGGAAGAGGATTTGGGGTGACCTGGGGAGCTTCGCCACGGTGCGTGCTTGACGGTGTCGAACATGGCTTCAAGCCACTTGGGCGTCTGGGTCGTGAACTTTATCCCGCCGTGCTCAGTCGACGCCGGCTGCTCATCCTCCTCCCAAAGCGCTAGACTCTCATCCTCCGATCGAAAGCTGCTCCCCACGAAATCTACATCTTGTGCTGAAATCCTCGTGTCCAATCGCTGCGCGGTAAGCCTCTTCTCATGGACCTGTCTCTCCGCCAAACCATCACAACACGCTGTACTGTGCCGCGAGGGACTGGCATTCACTAGCCCCTCTAAGTTCTGATGGGACACAACACGTTTTGTCCCGAATAACCCAAACCCATGAGTCACTTTAGACTTCGCTGACTTCTTCCCAGAAGTGTGTGATGATCTTGTACAGCCATACGACGAGCTTGTGCTGATTCCGTTTGAGTATGCTCGGCAACTTCCATTAGAGATTCCTCCATCTTTACCACCTGAGCAGCAGGTACTGCCATGAGAGTTCTTCTGGGCAGCTTCTGCCTGCGTGGAGTAGGATCCCTGCAAGCTCAGCTGATATGTCCCCATCGCTTCTGTCCACTGCTAGACTCGAACCTCAGCACATTCCTTTTCAAACACCCTAGAACTCTCACATAATGTTCCTTGTAAACCTCCTAATCTGGATAGGTGTCTGAAAACGTAGCACGCCCCCCGTCAAGAATTTCAGTACATCGTACTCGAGAAAAATGCAACTCCTCAGACTAAGTGCGTCGATTTTCACTACGATGTGTCAATCCCTTGACTCCTACACCTCAAGTTCAGTATCGTCTGACAGGTTTAGGATGGACCAAACTGCCCAAGATATACCTAGCGGGTGCGTGCGAGTTATGTGGCTATATCAACCTCTTTCTTAGATGACATATGATCGGCATCGTCTGTCTTGACCGTGAGAACTTCTAGGTGAGGAGCTACTAGCTTTGAATTCGAAGGAATCCATGGATTGTAGTATTTTTCTGGGAATCCTAAAAATGTGGTACCCAAAATTGGAAAGCAACGAGTATCGTTTTAAATGCTTTGAGGCTGCGCCTCCGCATGACGCCACCTGCTCCAAGCGGGGAGGGCATTGGAAGAAGACTGCAGATTGGAACCCTAATCCTAGGTCCCGGATTTACCCCCCTTCAATGAGAATCAGAGCATTATCAGAAACTCTCGCCTTCACGGTTGGAGGATGTTGCATTGTCGTTCCAAGACTTTTGGGTGGACCATTCTAACGAAGAATTTTAGAAAAAAAAACTCGTTTTGTCATCACCCACTACAAAAACAAGCTGAAATGGGCTGGAACTACAGATAATCATGGGCATTAATGGTCACCTCTTGCTTAATTATCAGGTGATCGAAATTTAAATGCATCACATAATTTTTTCCTGGAAAGTTACGACCACCAACTGATTGCGTCGTCGCACCATTTTGTGGTATGGATCACAGAACATTCCATGACAGTAACTTTACTTGGGTTGAATGCTTGAATCGTCTGACATTATCTATTTTTAACCCTCTGCAATCCTGTAACCAGCGTTTACTAAGTGCTGTTTTAACATCGAGTCCCTATCTTCCTGAATCCCAACCTTGCTATATGAGCACTGTCCGGAAGCCATGCATGGAAAGGTCGATCAACCCGAAGTGGCTATTGCAACCAGAGATACAGTCTTAATGCTTCTACTTTTTATGACACTGTTTGAAGCAAGACCGCTATTGACAACAGCAGGATGAAAATTTCTGCTCCATCCGTCTCTTACCAATTTAATTATCATTATTTCCAACCGTGTGCTTCCCTGCACATCACGTTATCTCCTTAGAGCCACAACAGGGCAAGTTCAAGCAAAAGACACGATGTCACACAAAACGAGAGGGAGAGAGAGAGAGGAGATTAAAGAAACAATAAATCCTCTAAGAAGATATGTTCGGTGAAACAACCGTCTGCGCGGCACGCCATCAAAAGGGATTTGAAACGAGTTGGTGGCTATTGTGCAACCATGAGAGAAAAGACTCAGTCCAGTTCTAAACGCGGTTAGCCGGCGCCCACCCACAGATCCTACTCCTAATTACGGCGGAACCAGAATCACTTCGCTATAAGGTCCGCCCCAAAACCTGCAAAATCATAAAAACATAAAAAAATCTCTCATTTCCCACCCCGCCTCTTTCAACTCAGCGCAGATTTTCTTCGCAACCGACACCCAACTGGAATCAAAAGGCGTAGCTAAGCTGGGCTTCCTGCACACTTGGTCCCGCTGGCAACAGCAGCGGAAGCTGCTAGCGACGGGTCACCCGGGAGTAGCCAAATATAGCGGTGCTCCTGGTTCAGTCCAACGGCGCCAAATATAGCGGCGCCGTTAATAAGGCAGAATCGCTGTCACTCTTTCCCCGCTAAATTTGGTGTGAAAATAATGCAGCCCCAAAGCGGCAATCGTTCGAAAAAGTTTCGTTGCCTCTCCCTTCTATTCGGGCAGGCGCCAAAATTAGGTCTACCATTATTGTTGTTATCGTTACTCAGGTTTGTTTACTTGTTTATTTTATTAGTTTGTTTTCAAATGGAGTGGACTTGGTGAGAGTTTTGACTTTGATCCGCTCTGGTGCATTGTTCTTTATTATTTCTACCTCTCTTTTTCCAAGTTTGAAAAGAGTTTGAAATTGCATGGAGAGTAGTGTTCTACCACTTTAATTGACAAATTGCATTTATTAGTACTGTTACCAAGTTTAGGGTTTTCCATGTATCATGTTAACAAGACTATACAAAACTATACAAAGTATGTGTTGATTTATTTTTAATATAAAAAAATAAAATTTGATGTATACAGAATATGATACTTAAATTATTATAATAACAAAAAAAATTCTAAAACATTTAAACCAAACAATTACAAGGTCATGTTTTTCAGCAAAGATTCAACCTGTTAATTGTAATTAAGATTTTACCTACAAATATATCTCACTGCTACAAATTGCTTTATGAGGTCTTTAATTGTTTGGACTTGATTCTATATTAAAAAATGAAGTATGTAGACTACTTCTAAATGATATTTACTTAAATTTATTCCCACAATATTTGTAAAATAGATTTTGTATAATATAACCTGGAAAATTTATGTAGGGAAGACTTCTTAAGATATATTTGTTTTTACTGAGTATTAATTACATTTTACATTGTCAAATTAAATATATTGGCAAAATTTATGTTTAAAATTCACATATAAATTACATGTCTTTTCAGTTGATATAGAAATTGAAGTCTAGTCTATTCTTTTACTTTGTAATTATCAAATTTTAAAAAAGATATTGACTTAGAAACAATTCTATACCAAGTGTGGCTGTATAAATTATCAAAGTTGAGTAGGAGACTAATAACAAGTTTTTGGATCAAATAAAAGACCTACTACTATCCTATAATAGAATACAAAGTCTTCTTTTGATGACTTAAATTGTATTAATCCTTGAATCTTATGACATCTTATATTATGTTAATAAGTTAAAATACTTAATTTTATAGCTTTTTCCTAAGATATACAACTTATAGTTCAAAATATCTTTGAAAAAAAACAATCTCTTTATGTAGCAGCTCTATAAATTCTCACATTCCCTTCTTGAATGATCTATGCTATTATACCACATGCACCTATGCACTATACCTTCTATTGGTCTTAAATTTCATCTTATTGATATTTGTAATGATTGACCATTTTTTTGAAGTTTTTCAAATTTTATTTATAAATCTTTCATCCCTCATATGATTTTATCAATGTCCATTTCTTCTTTCTTTGATATAGCCATTTAAGATTGAATCATAGATGTAAGATAGATAGTAGGCATTTTTTTGTTAAATGCTTGAAATGATCTTTGAATACCTACCTTATCCTTTTTGACACCTTAAATATTTTATAATATCCTTTCTTTCAAATTGATCAATCTTATCCACAACCACTTATAATGCTTTATTTGCCATACCTTCTTTGCAATCTTTAACTTATTGTTGTTGCATGAATAAGGCAAAAGCCTCAAATATGCTTGTGGAGTTGAGATCAAAATATATACTTTTTCTTTAACTTGTAGCTCCACTTCCAACTCTACTTGAAGCACCATTTAAAGTTCTACAAAAAGCTTCTTCTTCCATTTTCTTGCCTTCTTTCTCCATATTTCAAATAAACCAAAAAAAAAAAAAAAAAAAAAAAAAAAAAAATTCAAAATACCTTCCACTTCAAGCATTTCATGTTAGGTTCATGAAATATGTTGTATTATGTGAAGTCTTGCTTGAAAATGCACCAAGCACTTGATTGTACAAGATAAAAGTAATTTATAATAATAATTCCTAATAAAATCATATATAAATTATAATTAAAGCTTAATAAACATAATCAAACATTGATCAAGTTCAATTAAATTTTTAAATAAATTATAAAAGAATTACAAAGAAATCATAAAAAAAAAAAAAAAAAATCTTAAAGAAATCTTAAAGAAATCGACAAGAATCATATAGAAATATTTATAAAATCCTAAAAAAATCCTAAAAAAATTCCAAATTCTAAACTAACTCTGATTAGATTCTAAATCCTAAATCAATTCTAATCAGATCTTAAATCCTAAATCAAATCCTAATCAAATCTAAAGCCGAACCCTAATCAAATCCTAAGCCAAATCCTAATCAATTTCTAAACAAATCCTAATCAAAATCTAACAAATTCAAATCAATCCTAGGACAATTTTAGAACCTCAATCTTTATTAATTAAATTCTTGATCTTGTTTAAAATTTTATATACCTCTCAATTTCTTACTGAATAATAAGCTTAAAAAATTTGAAGAGAATTGAATTTATAAAATGGCAGAAAAATCTCATAATCCACTTAGGTGTTGGCCGGCCTCCATCATTGATCTTAATATTGATCTTTTAGTAGCAATAACTCCTAATTGAACCATTAACTTGCTCTCAAAATTTGTATAAGTATTGGAAGTCAAGTCAAATATTACCTTTAATAAAAATCACTTCAATCTAATTAACAAATTGTTGCAAATCTCAAATAATCTTATTGGACCTAAAAATCTAATTTCTAAGATCCTAATCTACTTGAACTTCAATAATCTTTAATTCAACTATTTGAATAAGCTCCAATTCAAAACATACATTCAATACAACTACCTACACAATCTTACAAAATTTCACTTATAGATCTGCTATAAAAATTATGAAATTATCTAAATTACAAATTATATTTTATTTCAAAAAACCTAGAGTCACTCAAAACAACCTTAACTTTGCAAAGCTCTTACAAAGTCATTACAAACTCAAATTGCTAAAAACTCTTGCTCTAACAAATTTTATAAAGTTTTTTCTCAAATCTCACACTTTGATTTTGCAAAAGATCCTTGGAATTTCCATAGGTATGTGGTTTTGTGCCTTGGGGTTTGATTTTGAGCCAGGTTAACAACCAATTCTCTCTGAATATCAATTTATATCTTCTTGAAGTAATTTTTGCTAAATTCAATTTTCAATTCTCCTCTACATATGTTTATATTCTTTATTTTTTAATCTAACTATTTTTGCTTTATTTATAGTCTTGAAAAATAAATAGAAGCCTACTTTGTAAATAAATAGCATTTATACTTTTAATTTACTATCCTTTGATTATTATCTATATTTTAAAGATAATTTTTTATAATTTTTTGAAATAAGATATTTTAAATATAATATTTTCTTCACTCTTTTACTTATTAGCCGTCTTAAATCATAACAATGTATGTGCTAAAATTTGAATAATTAAAATAATTCACTAATGCTAAAAAAATTATTTGAATTTTTTATTTTTTAAGTGATCAATTTCTTCTTTTAGCTCCTTGCTCTTCAACCTACAAATTTTATTAATTTAACAATAAAATAAATATCTTAATTGATTATTTTAAGAGAACTTATTTTTGAATGTAGCCATTGAATTTTGAATTTTTTCCTTCCTTCTTCTTATTCTTCACTTTTACTTCATCTTTTTTGTTTCTTCTTTTCTTTTCTTTTCTCAAAAACTTCTTAATTTATTAGTGAAATACTCTTGAATAGTATTGAAGAATTCTTTTCTTTACTATACCTATAAATAAGAAAGAAATAATAGGTAGAAAAGGTGATTAAATCCCTCTACCACTAGAAAATTTCCGCCAACAAGGAATTTATAATTAGATGAAAAGAAAGGATACAAGGGGTGGAGAAGGTGATTAAATCTTTCTACTCACTAGAGATGAGCCTTCAACAAGAATTTGAAAATGATAGGAAGTAATCACCAAATTGAAGAAGAAATCCACCTTTGATTAGGTTATGCTTGGATTTCTTAACTTTGAATTAAATGACTCTTACAACCTATAAGTATTCTTTTATAATTTTTTTTCAAGAGAGCTACTAAATTAGTGACTTTAAAACCTAGTTTCTTTTATCCTCTTTAATTTGTACTTTCAAAAACTAAAAATAATATAAAAAATGATATTTTTTACATCTATTGTTATTATTACTAGTTTCTTAAATATATCTTTTATTGGAAATAATCTATAGAATAACTTTGAAGATGATTTTAGATATTTTTTAAATTTAACATATACAATATTTCTATTGGCACATAATCTATTAATATTTTTTGGATTCTTTAAAGCTTTAAGATCAAAATTTGGATTTAAATTTTAAAATATATAAATATATGTATATATGTAAATAATCAATCAAAATAAGAAATCTTATAAAATAATGATACTTTTTATAAATAAAATATTTAAATATTATAAAATAAAATATCATTTTAGAATAGATCACACTATAACTCATATTCACTATAAAGCTCAATCTAAAATAAGAATCATTATAATAATCATAATAATAATTATTATTTTTATTATAAAAAATAAACTCTTTCTATCACTTTGATTATCTCTTTACTAATTAATTTCTTGATTAGATATCTAAAATATTATATTTAATCCTAAACTAACTTTAGTAATATATACAATGAAATCTGAGGAAAAAAATGGTTTTATGTTGCAAAGTACTACTAGTAAATGCTTTGATAAAGAGATTTTAGAAGAAAGAAACAAGGGTGCAATGCAATGGCTATGAAATAAGCATATTTGGCAAAACAAGGGCATGCTTCTAAAATATCCATGCGATGCTACCTCTACCACCTTGTGCCATTTCTCCCTCTCCCTCCAATATTCTTTTAATAGAGATGTAAATAGGTTAAAATGCTAAATCCTATCCAAAGTTTGGTCCACCTTTTCTATTGTAATTTTCTATTAGACTACAACTTTCCCTCCAAGTTCAATCCTAGCCTTATTTTTTATATGGTGGAGATCACGCTTTAAAAAATCACTTCAATCCTTTTAAAGTGTATAATTTGAGCTTATAGTTTTGTGTGTGTATATATATTTACATTTCAGTTATAATAATGAATATTTGACAAAATTGACTTTCATTGAGGTTTAAGAGTGCTGAAAAATACAGATATGATAATTATTATTATAAAAAATTATAAAAAAATATTAGATGGTCAAAAAATATTATATTTCCTATTTTAGAAAATAAAATTATATGTAAGAAATCATATGGTTTATAAAAAAATATATAATTCTATATAGAAATAAAAATCTGTATCTGTAAAGCTTCTCCATAAGCAATTGTCAAATTTACTTATATCTACTTATTTCTATTTAATTTCTTTAATCTAGATAAATTTGTATGTCCATTACACAAATGCCTATAAAAACCTTATCAAGTCTCTTATCCAATCTTGCTATCTAATCTATAAAAAAACCTTATACTTCTTATAAGCAAGTGATTTTGTACTTCAAGGCCTAGTATAAACCATGATTTATAATAAGTTTTCTTTGGGTATTAATCTAAGATTTTTCTACCTGATTCTTATTAGAAGCTATTATTAATTATCATCTAAAAATTTCTATGATATGTTTTTGTACTAATTTTTTTTTTCTTGTTTATGGTTTTGTAAAGTAAATTGAAACCTTCTTTACAAAAAGATAAGATTAATTCTAAATATTTTACTACTTCATTAAATTTTATTTATATCTTTTGAAATAAATTTTTAATATATTTTAAATTAAGCTATTTTATAAAATAATCAATTTTTTTTTAAAATCTCACCAGATAGTTGTGTTACAATACAATAACATTGTCTTTATATTGTCCAAAGGCATGTTTCACATAGTAGTGACGAAATTGCTTTAAATCTTCTCAATTTTAGAAAAACGTCTTCAATATATATATATATATATATATATATATTTTCCATGTAAAAACTAGCAAAGGATTAGCTTTTCTAGAACTAGTCACTAATTTATATATAATTAAAAAAATCAAGTACCAAATTCTTCTATATGAACAGAAATTTTAAATTTTATTTAGTACTGTTTTGAGGAGTGCAAGGAAAATTAAGTGTATTGACTTGGATGTCTTAAAATTCTACAAAAAAATCAATATTATTTAATTATTTTGAATAATTTATTATGCATTTTATTCCAAATTAAGTTATTACTCTATTGATTATTTAAGATTCATACATCCATCTAATCATTGGTTGTTCTAATCCATAAAATGCATGCCATTTCAGTTTTTTATCCACAAAATATGTCACATTCAAATTGATGACTTTATCCAAATATTATATCTATCTAAAACATTATTCAATAATATAATTATTTATTTAAATTAAACTTCTACATCCCTCATAACCTTTTATCTAAAATTCATATATACCAACTAATTAATGGACTAACATAAGTATAAAAATATAGAACCAAAGGAATTTGGCACTTCTATATAATTTTTGCATCTACCTTCACAAATTAATATTAAGCTCAAAATTATTATTAAGCTCAAAATTGAGTTTAATTAGTTATTTTAGAAAGAAGAGATGAATATACATGGCACCTTCAAAATTTCATCTTCAAATTTGGTTTTAGGTCTCAAATATTTTCCTTCAAAGTAGATGCTTTAATTCAACAATGCAAAAAATTTACTTCTACAAAATTGAGTGGCATAGATTATTCCTTGATTGTCCTATAAAGATATAAGTTTTTTAGAATCATGACTTCAAATGGCACATTCTTCTAAAAATTGAATTCTTAGGTTGTCTTATTCCTCCTAATTTTGTCTTCCAAATTTGTACCTTTAGTCAATTATTTTAATATGGAGACAACACAGCCTTCAATTTGGAGGCAATAAAAATCAACACTCCTACCACATTCTAGCTCCAATATTATCAGTTTTTAGCTTTCTAAGGAATATTTTTATCAACTCTAAAACAAAAATATCCTTATTGCTTTCTATCTTGTGAAAAGTATAAGGTAGTCTTCTAAAATAGAGCTACTAAATTATTAAGGCAATATATCACCTTTCTTTAAATTAGAGGTTTTTTTCTTGTCCAAACTTCAGATTTTAATATTTTTACATCCAAAAAAAATTTTATGTAGAAATTCTATCTTCATATAAAATTTCAAGAATTGATTTTAAAAATTCAAAGAAAAAACTCACAATAACTAAAGCCTCTTATAAAACCTAGAGAAAATTTGACATGGCTATGTGTATTAATAATAATAAAAAAAAAAATGTCCCAATTATATGAGTCCATGAGATCTTTTCTACTATTACCTTAAAACCTAAGGAGGTAGCCACATATCTACTTTTAAACTCCAAGGAGCTCAAACTAAGATCCATGGTATTAATTGAACTAATTGTCAAAATCCAAGATCAAAGCTTATTGCCATCAATTGAACCCTAAAAATATTTTTTTGGCCAAAATAACTTTATCAATGTCTTTTAAATATATTTTCCAATAAAAAAATAACTACTCTTATGCCTTGTTTCATAAGAAAATATAACCATTTGAAGATTAGAAGTATAGAAATTAAAATTAGAATTAAATTATTTCTAACTTATTTCTAACTTAAACCTCTTTTGTAAGCATAATTAACATATCATTAGCTATCATAAGTAAGTTGCATATTTGTTAGAAAATAAAAGCATCTTTTCTTACTTGTGATCTCAATATGTTGATCGCAAGGCCTCTATGCTATATAAAATAAATGAGAATTACTTTTTTTGCGGTTGGTTTGATTTATAAATTTATCTATTTGAATATATAATCTTCATCTATATTATCACTATATTTCAAAGAAAGAAGGTTCTATAGCTCATAATGTTTTATAAATGTTGATGGCTAAGTTTGATTGTGTAGGTTGTAATATTTATTCTCTTTTGCTAATAGTATGATTGGAAGTAAAAGTTTGAACTAGCAACCATGTCAAAGAAGAGTCTAGTATCTTCATTATTTTTTATTTTATTTTTTATTTTTTTGTTTTTATAACCATTCTTATCACTTTAGCATAACTAATTATTTCTTCTAAGTTTGAAGCATGAAGGTTAAGAAGATTTTTGGTTTAAAAGAATTATAATTTGTTATTTAGGATAAAGAATCTTATTTGCTTCTCAATAATACACACACACATATATATATATATATATATATATATTACTTTAATGATCTAGACATGATCAATCACTTATTAGATCTTATGATGAAATTAGAAATATTTAACTAAGGCTTTACTTGAGTTGTATAGTCTAATCTTGGTATTGGATTGAAGCATCTATAGATTAACATTAAGCATGTTTTTTTCCATAATATTATGATATTATTTTTATAAATTCTAACAAAAATGTTCTTTATTATAAATCAGGTAAGAATTTTGGCAGCCTTCTTTAAATAACATGAAATATTTTGTATCATAGTTGCAAGCATTTTATATTCTTTGCAAACCTCATTTATGCAAATTAATTGCTTTCATTAAAATAATGTATATATTGGAGAAAACTAGTTGTCAAAGCTAGTACTCAATTAATACTCATTTTATAAGAAGTAGTTTTGGAAGATATTTTTTATTATCATTTCTTTTAGAAATTTCTACTAAAAGATTATAAAAGATTTTATTTAGATTTTCAAAATGTCAAAGAAAAACTTTCAGAGATATAACATTGTCAAAAGATTATAAAATTGTATATCTAGGTACTAACATGATTGAACATATATACAAGAAGAATCTAATGATATTCAGAAAACCCAGTATAGCTAAATATAACCAATTTAAATAAAAGGTATTTAAATTTCAAAATAAATATAGTTATAAGAATACTAAACTTTTAATTTTTTGTATTGTTTAAAATATCAAAATCGTATAATATTTACATATAATTTTAATTTATTTAATTATTGAATTACACACATATTTATTAAATTGTTATAAATTATGCCCTAAATCTTGAGAAAATTTTAAAATCTTTAGATTGGGCATCAACAATCAAAATAATTTAATATGGTTAAAGATATTAATAAAATGCAACAATTAAGAAGATAAAATGTAATAAGAAATTATTGTAAACCTACTTGGCTTGATAGAAGACTATGGAAATTTTCCTTGAAGTAATGTCATGTAATAGTTTCAACTAAAATTACAAATATTGATTTCAATATTAGACAAGTTAATTATTTTAATTTTTGCATATTGTGACATTTTGAACCCACTTCAAAACAATAATTTTTTGCCTTCTACCAAATACATTATATTCTCTAACAAAAATTGACATGCACAGTTTTTAGTAGTTGTAACATTGTCCACACCTCTTTTTCCTCATTTGCCCCCCTCTAATACAAAAGTTGGGGTTCATACTGACTTTATACTTCTAAAAAATTGTAAGTTGATACAGTAAAATTAGCAATTCAAATATCAACTATAAATTCTCTAATATTGCTTGATGAAAGCTAACATGAAAATAATGACTCTTTGATGTTTTAATAATAGAAAAAAAAACAGTAAAAAATAAAACAAAATAATTTTAAGGAACATCCAACAATGGGACAACAAAGGATAACCTCCTTTCACATTTGCCTTGTTTCTTTTATGTTCCCATGAGGAACACGTTGGGGAGAATGGATACTAAAACTTCCAGTTTTGGAATCTGGAAGCTGAACCCAATTGTGACATCACTTCTGTTGAATCGTAAAAGAGATTGAGACAGCGAGAAGCTTCTGCATAAGTAACATAAGAACGCTGAAATTGTGAAAAATGCAGAGTTGGGGTCAAATGAAGCTTCAATTGTGCTTACAGAGATGGTGGCAAATCGCTGGAGAGTCCAATCTGAGTGGCCCTATTGTGAAGATCTCTATTAGAGGGGTGGAGGCGGAGTTGCTTTGCACCTGACAAAACCTGCAATTAGGGTAAGGGTTTTAAAAGGGGGTGTGAAGATGTCCAAGTCAAATCCTCCCAAACCACCCACAGATGTTGCAGGTGGTGCTGAGGAGCAAAAAGAGGTTGACATCAACACCTTAACGTTGAGATTGGAAGAAGCGGTGGCGAAAACTACTCAATTTTACTCTATTTTACTCGGCACAAAGTACGTGGATTGCCACAACCTTGTCAAAACCTTTGCATGATGTTGAGTTTGGAAACCCTAAGTAGTCCTGAAGAATGATGGCCCTAAATCGGGGATGGGATTTGGTGAGAGGGGTGAAGTGCGGAGCAGAAAACTGTGCTGGTAGACTCCCGAGACTGCATTTGCAAGCTTGGAACGGAATTCTTTAACTTGAAAGAGAATCTGAAGAAACGGGAAACACATGCTGTAAGTAACTCTATTCTGGTGACAGCTGCTAACACAAAACGAAGAAATGGCCACGAATAAGGTCCAATGTGAGGGCTGTTTGTTGAAGTTGTTGTAGATTTTGCTCGATTCTACGTGCTTCAGTTCAGCACACTATCTGCAAATTTTAAATCGGTATCATTTTACCAGTATGAGTGGTTGATGCGTCTGGCGCCCGTGTATTTTGAACAGTTCGCTGTTCAACAGTTGCGAACACAAGACCTCAAGTTGCAGAAGGCTAGAACCCAGGAGCTGGTGGATCAGCTGACCCAGGTCTGGTTGGTCACTCCGAAAACCTCTCACCCAAGCTTTCTCCAGTGCTTGTCGAAATTTCTGTGGGAATTGAGTAATGTTAGCCGGTTCTTATTAGTGGGTGGAGCTCAGATTGACTGAATGGGGCTGGATGTGAAAATTCGGTTAACTCAAGACAGAAAAACGTTGACATCGATGACCTCCACGCGCATTACAAGCTTCAAGTGCGAAAAGTCATTGATGAGGAGAGACTTAAACGAGTGCAAATGAAGGTGAAGTTTGGAGCTCTAGTGGAGGAGTTATTCAACCGGCTTGAGGGTGTCAAGACGTTTATGGCACGCCAGGTGTCGCCAAGTTCACCCTGTTTATCCTTCACATGCATGCAGAACACATTCGAAATTCCATAGAATGTGGATCACATTCGCAAAGATATCATGTCATCTAATCAATTTTGCGATGGATGCGTAATCAGCGCGAGGTGGAGGAGCGCATGAAAGCTGCTGAGAAAGAAGCAGAGAACTCGCGCGCACAGATAGCAAACTCAGCACATGGCTTCGAACAGAAATGCGTCGAAAAAGTACTTGAACCATCACTTCCACTAAAAAAACACTGCAAACCCTTTGAACCAAGTCCATCACAGTTTTCCTTCAGATTGCGAGTCTTTTCAATTCCAACATAAGACCGGGTCCCTGAAGCCAAAAGATTTGCCATCTGCAGTGCTTGCAATACAAAGAGTCAACCGACAAGAAACTGAAAGAATACATGAAGAAAGTGAAAGTAGGCATCGGTTATCGAATCGGTGACACAATGAAGGAAGTTCTTGGGCAGGTTAAGCGTCAATCCCACCCTTTTCAGCCTCACTGACAACGAACGCAATTTTGAATGAACAATACGATAAAAACTGAGACGGATTCCTCAAGTGACATGTTTCGATGTATAGAATGAGGTACTGTTGGCTGAAATCCAAATGCACTCCTCGTCGACAATGGGAAAGCAAGTGGAGGTAGACCGGCTGAAAGCTGTAAACACTAAACTGAGATGTGAAATTGCGTTGAAGAAGGGAGCCGAGGAGCTCAATGCCAAACGCACTCGATACCAGAAACATGTCATCAAGCATAACAATATCAAGGTATTCACGTCTACTTGTTGCAAAACAGACCTCGAGCCTTCCCGCAAAGGTCAATTTAACACCCACGCTATCTGCTGGAAGCTTGGCAGATCCAAAACATGGAAAAAAACCTGAAGACAATTATTCGTAAATTCAGTGAAGAACGAAAAGTCCTACAAGAGAAGAACGCTAACGTCGTAACTGAAGTTAAAGCCGACAGTATGGTTCGTCCCTCACGCTCATGTCAAGTGCCTGCACCTCAATTCCTTGAACTGGAAAGGAAAGAAGTGTAGGGTTCTGAGATGTCTGTTCATCTTTCTGTGCAGAAATTGAAAAGCCTCGTGTTACACAGAGCGAAAGAGCTGAAAAAATTAAGGCATCTTTCAGAAATTGTGCTTCGGCAACGAAGCGAGGTCGAGCTCTTCCTTCTGGACTCCATCCAACACGTAAAGAACCAAATCTACTTGCAAAAGAAGTTCCAAAGAAACCAAAACTTGGACACCTCTGTTCACAAAAAAATTAACGCCAATTGCGCAAGCTTGGACTCAACTGCTCGTGGCAACCTGGGATCAACATCGCTCCAAATCAACAACCACCAACCTTCGTCAATCAAGCCACGGGTGTCGTGGTCTGACGCAGGGCCTGTTCATGGCAAGGTCAATGTTGGAGGTGGGGAGCACAACGCTGAGGAGCAGCACTCGACTGAGGATAGGGCAGGGATGCACATCCTCTTTCTTGGTGGCTCTCACGATCCCTTGACCACCCCTGTGGTTCTTCCCTTGATTGACATCTCGGAGCTCTCTTGGCAAGAACGGGAGAAGGTATTGCGGTATCTGTACAAGAAGATCAACACCGCATGGAGCCTCACGATGGAATCAGAGCACATCAAACAAGCCGAGACGATGCAGGAAGAACAGAAGTATCAAGGGTCCACGAGTGAGGCTGGGAGAACCATTATTTGATCTCGTAGCTCAATCTCTTTTAGAGGATTCTTGTTGAACTCCGCTCTTTGAGCCCTGGCTTCATTGCGCTAAGTTATTCAGTTAGAAATAAAAGCACAGAAATGAGAACGCTTCTGCTCGCTGACCTGATATTTTGCGAAGGACCGCAGCAATAATCTGGAAGGATGAGGATAAGAGAAAGAGAGGGACAGAGAAAGGACATCTTTATGTCCCGTAGTTTCAACAAAGTGTAAATAAAAAGTAGCTTTATTGAGCTAATTCACTGCGGAATTGCAATGATCACCACAGCCTTGCTAATCTTGAACTTCTCTACTTGTACATCCTGACAGATAATCAGAAATCGAAAACATGCAATTCCGTGTTAATTCCCCCTTCACAAAACTAGTGCAAGAACTATATGACGCACTTCGAAAGACATGAAAATCTATTCTTTAGAACAGCCCAACTCATGTTAGAAAAAACCACACTATAATTTTGGAATCAAAAGGAAATGCGAACACTTTAAGTCTGCTGAATTTTCAGACATATTGAAACTTCCACGGCCACCTCAAATGGATACTGTGCTTTCACATCAACACATCCTTTGTTATTGGAAAAACAAAAAAGAAAGGTTTATTCCCAGATAGTTCGCAAGGAATGGCAAGTTCTGTCGTAATGTTGTAGAATTATGCTGAGGATATAAGCATCCAGCCACAAGCTAATGATTTTACAATTAAAAAAGTTAAACGACTTTTCGAAAGTCTAGTAATGATGGAGAAAACCTCAGCAGTTAATAAGGCACAGATCCACAAAGCAAAAGAGAGACACGATATTACATTACCCTTAACATCAAGTGTAGTGAAAAGTTGGTCAATAAACAACCTCTTAACATGTGTAGGAGCAAGCGCACAAGAAGTCCAATGGTACCTGTATTCGCTACGCTGCAAACTACGTGATCGGTAAACAAGTGGGTACCTCCATTGAATACGGCAATTAGAAAGACGGATCGTCAACCTTTTCAAGTCCAATCAACTAGAATCTCCTCAGCACCAAGGCTAATCCCCACTTGCTTGAACTAGAGCCTATCAAGCACACCAGTCTAAGAAAAGGTTAATGGTACCATAACAATAAACGTGTGGCCTGACAGGTTACGTACGAGCCCTTTTGTTGGTGCAGGATGGGCACTTGTATTGCTTAATGTGTTCTGCTCTTGCTGGCGTAATTTTTACACATTTGCCATGGTACCACTTTTCACAGATATCACAGCCGATCCAGAATTCATCAGCAGTATAAGGCCCTCCACAACTTCCACAGAATGTGTCGCCATGTTCCTCCTCGTCCTCATCATCAAGAGCGTCCTCTTCATCCTTCTGAGGTAGGGGAGCAGGCTTAGCCGGCTTTGCTTGCGTCACCTGCTGCTAGAAGGCCACGCATTAAATCCATCGTCAACATCTAATTACACGAGTCTTAAATGTGTGGCACATGGCAGCAAATACAGTAAGAGGTCCGCTCATGACGACATTCAACGCATACTTGAACATTGTAAATTGGACAATAACGAAGTGCCAACGAGGGAGGGAGAGAGGACCACACATTCATAATAATATGGTCTAACAGGTAGTTTCTCAGTGCTCACCACCTTCGCAGCAGGCTTGGCTTTGGTGCCAGAGATGTTATTGACAGCAAGCTTCTCCTTAACAGGCTTTTTTCCTGTTACTACGTCAAATACTGTTGGAAGCTCATTTATCATGTTAAACAAACGCTTCCTGTAAGAATCACCAGAACATCCTCCTTAGACAGCAATACGAAGACGTCTCCTCCCAAAGTGGGCAAAGTCAGATCATTTCTCTGTCCTGAATGAAGGACAACACAATTCCAACAATAAACTTGTCTCCACCGACACAAATCCAGTAATTTAAATAAGTATGTCATATAAAAGCCGGAATTGTTTCATCAACTGGTCAAGAAAAATATTATTATCCTCCCCTCATCAATACGTTGCAAAGAATCAGAATCCCTCTCGCAACCGGATTATTTTTTCATAAGAAACATGCATTAAGCGGCCTCAATGCTCGCTTTCAAACTTTTCTACTTAACTGTAATGAACCTCTTCGACCAGATAGTCAAAAACAAAAAAAAACGAGACATGACTAATTGTAGATATAAGTTGAAACACTCCGTCGAATATCCTGACTTACACTGATAATGTAAAGTGAAGACACCAACTGCGTTCTAACGGTTAAAGATAGCTGACCTCTCGTTCTTGTCAAACCGAGCTCCATAATAGAATGCAACAGCGAGCAGCCACGCATCGCTGTGCACGGCAACCAAGGCTAACCAATCTTTACGCTGCATGCCATCTCTAGCGAAGTTGATACCAAGGGCAGGTTCTGGAAGTTCAGGAGGAACCTCTTCTGCTGGTAAATTTACTTCCCATGCCTCATCCGGGAAACCGTACAGACACAAATTCTCCTTCTCTGCAATTCAGCAGACCACCGCTACGTGATGTGATACACGCTACGACATGCCTCCGAATCTCTCTTCCAATACAAACTGGATCCTTATGTACCCTCCAATATCTCACACCCTGATTCACCGCCACAGCCCCTCACACACCCACTACAATGCCATCAAGATATTCCCTAATCCCACCTCGCCCATCCCATGCCCTACAATCTTTCACCGTCTGAGAGACACACACTCCTACTACTTCACGTTTGGTGTTGATCAGGCACATTCGGAAGCTTGAGAAGCTAAGCGAAGTAAAACACGGCATCGCAGTTACATCAGACCTCGCAAACCCCAGCGCTGTTCACCACGCCAATGCACAAGCCTAAAACCATGCCCCTACTTTAAAATCAAGTCAGCAAGCACGTGTGCTTTTCACAGCTCCTCACATCAATTTCGCACCTGGATCACACTGGCGGTAAAAGTCTTCAACATCTGCAAGACAACCGTATAACAGACCAGAGAGGGGGACGTGTGAGCCGCGTAGTAAACCAAATTTAAAGCACCACACAAGACGATGTGAGTTTAAAAATAAAAATAACGAAATAAAATGAAATGAAAGAAAATGAAAAAGTGAAAAAAACAATTACTTAATTAAAAGACGTTTCACGTGCCCTTCATGCGAACTAGCAAACCAAGAGGAAGCCTAGAAACGAAGTCACCAGCGTCCAAGGAGCTAAACGATGACATTCTTTCAACAAATTTGACATAACCCAAGGCTATAAGAGAACGTTTCGCCCGCGCAGTATTTGATGATTTCTCTTGCAGAACCATGACCACACCGCACTCACCCCGCGCCAATTTCCATACACACGATGAATGACTCCTCTGATTCTCCCCTAAGTAACAGAAAGAAGATCACTCCAAACTACCATGCACCCACCAGTGATAAGCGCCTTCAGCATTCCCGATCGCCGTCCCTTAAAGTCCTTAAACACTTCGTCAACCGTTCGCGGATTTGCAGATATCGAGGCCCCCTCCATGTTGCCACAAAAACCAGACGTGGCACCGGTCCTCTCAAGGAAAAACGCCCGTCAACACTCGGCAACAAAAGAAACGTTCACTCAAAGAATCATTCAAGCAAGCATAAACACAAACATGATGCTACACCTTTCGCTACGCCCTCTTCCTACACAAAAACAATCGCGATGAGCTGCACAGCACGAGACACTTTCCCTTATGCCAGGAATCGCAATCACCGGGACTTCGCATCTTGAGACTGACAACTTCTCCACTCTTCCAGCTCCACGAACCCTAGCAAGCGACTTTGGCCTAAAACCCTCGTCTCTCCACTGCTTCCGCCACTTCTAAATGCACCGGCGACCACTTCTCTTCCAGTGCAACCATTACTTCGCGCACAACCCTCTCAATGCCTGCAACTCACACACTCCTCGGGGCTCGATAACAACAACACAACAAGAGCATCGCACAGTCTGAGACTCGTAAGGCTTCCTTCTTCAGATAGCCCTCCTGTTCGTCTCCCCCCTCAACTTGAGAACTTGACGAAAACGCGAAGAATTCGTTCATTCTTCGTGGCCCTGGACTTCGTTCGTTTGGCGATATCTGCATGTCGTTTGTTTTGGGACGCGCGCTGCCGACGAAGTGCAGTGAGTAGGGGAGGTCAGACCCGCCGGAATCCTGATTCCCTCGTCCATCGTGTGGCATTTACTTTCGGGTAATTCACCGGGCATGGTCATTCTTACGCGAGGTAAAATTTTAAATAACGACGATTCACCTCGGTAGATGTATTTTACCAGTTTCGGAATTCATTCCAAACTTTCAAGACATTTTTTGTATCCCATTATAATATTTTAATTCAAAAAAGTTTAAACAATTTTTTTTGATATTTTTGTCTATGATTTAGTTCACTATTGTGTTAAGTCTGTAGAGCGAAATGAAACTCAAAAAACAGTCTTGGGAGTTAAACTTTGCAAAACTTTAAATTATCAATGAATAAAAAACCAATTTCAGTTTTTATTTGAGCATCTTAAAAAACCGGCACATTTTTTGTATAGATAAATAAAATTAGCAAAAAGCACCATTCTAAATGATTGTCTGTACTCATTGAAAAACCAGTTGTGTTGTAAAATGTAAAAAATAAAAAATAAAAAAACGATTTTTATAATATGATTTAATCTTGTAATCCTACTTTTGAAAATTTTAATACACATTATATTCATTTAAATACACAGAAAAGTATAAAAGTTTTTAGGATCAATTTGGGTTGTTTTAATTTTTGTGTAGATAATTGATTTTGATTATTACATTATTTGATGCAGGTATATTAGTGAAAATCAATTATATTGTGCATGCATTTGGCAATAATTGGTGATTTGAAAATATAATTTGTTTAATATTATGTAAATATTTTTTATTAATATTAAAATTATACTTTTTCTTTTCTGTTTTTGAAACTTCATGTGTGGTGACGTAATTAACTTTAGTTATTTTCCCACAACAATGAATTCTATTAAATTAGCAGTTGTAGCTCTTTGATGAACTTTAAGAAGAATGATTGTTCCTCTTAACAACAACATTATTGATTGGCAAGTGTACATGTTGTTTTGTTTGCATAAAAAAAATTCTAAAATAGATATAGGAATCATAAAAATGCAATAATCGTAGTTATTTGTTTAATAATCTGCACAGTGATATATTTATCTAGATTTTTTATTTTTTTATTTATTTTCATTCCGGTTAGTATTTTTCATGCTTACAGATAAATTTATTAATTTGGTAATGATATTGGTTAGTGTGTGAGTTTGTAATATTATTCAAACTTAAGATTTGGATTAGAGTTATGTATTTTTTGTAAAATATCTAGGTATAAGGTTTTTGAAAATCTACTTTTATTCCATCAATTTGTAGATGGTGTATGAACTACATTTTTGTTCTCACATGTATTTTGTGGTATATCCACATATGAATTTAGATTGCTTATTTTATATAATGTAGATATTATATAATGTAGATATTATATTTGTGTATGTATACACAAATACACCTCTTTGTACCACTAATCATATGTTTTTATTGCTATTAACTAAGTATCAAGTTGAATTCACAATAAAAAATTTGAAGTTGGGAGGATAACATCTAAAATTCCAATATATTCTAACAAGAATATTTTCAAAATGAAAAAAAATAAAATATGTAGATTTCTACTCCTACTGCTAGATATATAGATATACATACATACACGTACACATACATACAAACATATACATACATGAACATATGTATGTCCACATTGGCATTGAATTCAACACCTATAAGAGAAAGTGAGAATTGTAAAGCTGAGGAGGTTGAACATGAGAGATGTGATCAGCAACCGAGGAGGGAGGAAGGGATGAAGGATGAATAAAATGGATGAATGTTTTCTGGATGAGCGAAGAGGGATGATGGATGGATGAAGGAGGGAGTTTCCAGTCTGCCACTTCTCTGGAGTTCTCGCAATTTGAAACACAACATGACAATACAGAGTGAGCGAGAGACACACACAATTGTTGGCTGATTTTATAATTCTTGTTGCTCAAGAGTAGGATTGAGCTTGAGCTCACTTGGTGCAGTGTGCATGAATCCTTTGTGTACATTGGATCCTTGTTGTTCCTTTTAATATCTATTCTGCATGTATGTTGTCTTGTGTGCTGATTTAAAATTTTGGTTTACTACGTGTGATATCACGTAGAGGTAGTCTGCTGAACTGTAGAAAAGGAGAATTTGTGTCCGTGCGGTTTCTCGGATGAGGCATGAGAAGAAAATGCAGCAGCGGGGGAGTTATCAGGGAGTAGGATGACCCGGTTTGAAAGCTGAACAGGTGTTTTGATCTGCTAGGCAAACCTCTCATTTCCTTTCTCTTTCTTCTTCTTCTTCTCTTCTTTTGTATTCTTTTTCCTTTTCTTTCTTACTCTTTCCTTCATTTCTTTGTGTGTTTTTGCGTGAATGGTTGCATTATGCGTAGTATCTGAAGGCACGTATTGATAATAATGTGATGCAGGAGTAGATTTGAAAGTGTGTCCATAATGGTACAAATCTGAGGACTTGAATAATTCAAGACCTCTATAGTGCTATTTGTGCTTAATGAAAATAATCTTTTCCATTTTGATAAACTGAAGGGTCTGTTTCCTAATGATATTTGCAACTGATTGCTTATGTTAGGATTGATGTCAATTGCTAGATGCACCAAGTTTAGGCTATTGAAGGTTGGTTACTGCATGGATATCACAGATGGTGCACAATGGTGCTACTTGCAAGAACCTAATAGAACTTGACTATTACATGTTTGTCATACACCAGCATGTGACTCACAATTCAACCTGCAGGAGGCCGTATTATAATATTCTTGCTTGCATGACCTTTGAAGTTAAGGCTTGTTGATTTTTAACTTATAAAAATCTTTGCTCCTACTAATTGTTGTGATTTAGATTTATATTGTCTATCTATGCCATTCTCATGTAAAGCATAGTGACAAGTGTGTTCAAGGTTTCAAAACATTATGTTTTTTTTGTTTTTTTTGTTTTTTTGTTTTTGTGTAGAATCATAAATATATTATGGATTGAACAACATGTATCGCTCCTTATCTGTTGAATGACTTATACTATATGTAACAAAAGCTCTGACTTATCCAGCATTTAATTAAGACATCAGAAGTGCCTTTCTCTTAGCTTTCGACACTTTTTGGTAGCAATGAATGATGAATAGTGCCATGGATGAATATCAATCTGGATAAACAATGCCATGGATGAACATTAATTTGGATGAACATTAATTTGGATGAAAAATGTTATAGATGAATATTAATTTAGATGAAATTGGATATCTTTCGTAGATGATAAAATTGGATGATCTGCCAGCTACCAAATCTTCATCAATGCCAGAATGTTGTTGAAGCATTGGAGCAAGAATTTAACTCTATTGATGCTGATTTTTACTTAATTAAATCCCATTTGTTGCTTGTGGTGAAGATAAGTCTTTTTTGCTCCAATATAGCTTGGTACTTCTACTCTCCAAATATTACATTTGTAGATTATTTGTTAATTGTTTTCTTATAGTTATTTATTGCTATTGTATTAATTGAATTGATAATAGCATCTTTAATGGATCATCACATTAATTGATTAGATGAAAAAAATATGGCACATAGGCATTCATTATGAAATATTTGATGCGCATTTGCAAGCTCTACATGTGTATAGGTAAGACATTAAAAGATTCAATGGATATTGATGAAAAATTAAAATAGGAATCAAGCCAAGTAGAAGCACAAGCATTGATTTCACTCAATATTAAGCCTTTGCAATTAACTGATATATGCAAATTTAATATTGCAAAGGAGATGTGAGACATATTGGCTAAGATCCACAAGCTTTCAAAAATTATTATTAAGATATTTTTAATGAAGAAATTATATAATCTTTGATATGTGGATCTAGAATCTATGGAGATTTTTCTTAGAATGATTTTTGATTTTAGGAATCAATATATTAAAGCCAATGGTGAAATGAATAAATAAAGCATGGTATTTTTTTTTACTTATTACATTTCCAAAATCTTGAAATCTACTTATTTAGTTGATTGCATTGAAAAAATAAGAAAAGAAAAAAAGCATAAAAGAGGTAGTACAATCTATTCTCTATGATAAGGAGATGTGAAAGAAGGAGAAGACTAATTTTTCATTTTTTACTTTAGCAGTGCATATAAGAAGAAAACAAGACGTAAAGAAGTACCATCCACAACAAAAATAGATGCCTAAGATTGATAAGTCTAGAAGTACTTCTAGGACTTGTGGACAAAAAAGGCATTGGCGAGGTAATACAAAATGTCCTAAAAAAATAGCAATAGTATGGAAAATACTAGCATTATTGTTATTCTTTCAACTCAAGAGATATCATTTAATTCAAAAATAATGATTGCATCATTGTCTCAATTATGATATTATGTATACATTGATAGAGTAGTGGATATATACATCCAAAGAGACATGAATAAGCTAATCAATTTTGATGAAAATGCAACTATTCAATTTTAAAGCTATAATGGTGGCATTAGCAAATCATGAGGCTCAAATGAAATACATCTCATAATTTTAGACTCTACAAGAAAATGTATTCTTATGGTTGTAAAGGATGTCTATTGGATTTCTAGAGCATGTGATACTTTATTATTAATTGTAACTTTATATAAGAAAAATTACAAATTTAACTTGGATATCAATGAAGTTGATTGGATTTTATCTTCAAGTGACTTACTTACATAAATGGCCAATATAATTGTATTGGTTTAAAAAACATTTGGTATTATTTTTAGGCCAATTAGCTCATATTTGTATTCCAATACAAATTATAATCTATTAAATTTAATATTTAAAATTTAAATTTGCTAATATAACTAGCTTTTGGTGGCCAAGATTTGATATTAGCTTAAATCCTAAATCCTAAACTCTAAACCTAGCATGTTAGGAG